TGCATCTGAAGGTCTCATGACTGGGGTTTTATTAGATGGTAATAAATGGTGTTTCCTTGGCAACAGCTAGCCCCTCAAGGTCCTGGAAACCTTGCTTCCAAAATTCCTTAGAGACTTATGCTTTCCCTGCCCCCCTCCCAACCTGAGGGTATGTAACCAGTCTCTCCTCACAACCCCAGGGCAGCTCTTCCTGCCCACGGGTCCTGTTCCTGGGCTTTAATAAAATCACCGTTTTGCACCAAAGACATCTTTTTCAAGAGTTTTTTCTTGGCCATCGGCTCTGGACCACCCCACCATCACCCCAAAACTTCGTTATTTCTACTACCGGCAAGACTCAGACCACGTTATGAAAGCCTTAAAGCCCACCCATACTGATTGACAGTGAAAGTCACCTGCCTCGAATAATGTTCCTCAAAATTCCGGATGTTCCCCTTATACCCACGGAGGGAGAATGTGGACAGTTCGACGTAGCGTCGACGTATATTTCTATCCATCGCTCGGCTCCCTAGCAGCGTACTGATTTCACACATTCACTAAATATTTATTCAGGCCCTCCTCTGCATCAGGCGCCATGCTGGTAACCGAGGACGTGACTGTGAACAGAAGCGCCGGGTCCTTGCCTCTTGGCGTTTGCAGACTGAGCGATAATCACAGCAACAGGCCGGTGATCACAGCAGGGAGGGGCGGGCAAGTAGGACTGCAGTAGGGATGTGTGAAACAGGGGAATCGGACTTTTTCCAAAGGCTTCTAGAAACTTCCTGGAGAGGGCACTGAGAGATGAAGGGTGAGTGCAGATGAGGGAGGTATGGGGCAGGGCTTCATGCCCCTGACCTCGGGGCAGGCCACAAGGCCCCGAACTGGGAAGCGAAGGCTGGGGCCCCGGTGTGAGTGGAGAAAGGTGCAGGTCAAGGAGCTTGGTTTTATCCCAAGTACAATGGAGAGCTGAGCTGGGGGTGGCGAGGAGGGAGGTGTGGGTGGGCCAAGGCTGAGAGAGCCCAGAGGAGGCGCAGGGACTGGCCAGCAGGTGCTTGAGGCAGAGCAGCCCACACGTGATGCTGGCTGGGACTGGGAGGGAGGGCAGTGGCCGCGGGGAGAAAAGCCCACTCGAGCAACACTGAGGACAGAAAGCCAACGGGGAATAGCACACGAGAGTCCACTCTCCGCGTGATGGCCCGATTCAGTGTTTGGGTCTGTGTGCTTGAGGCCTGGCTATGGCAGGCCGGTGAGCTCCGGGAGGACTCCGTGAGACCTCTTGACACCTGCCCACGATGGGATCCCTCCCATGGCCTTGGCTCTGTTCAGATTCCCTGGTGGGTCATTCGTTGTCTGGTAGTAGCTCACCTGGCCTCAGTTGGACTTCCCTCGTCCTCTGGTGGGAACCAGGGGTCCTTTCTCCTGCTTCTCCTTACACTCGGCTTTTATTGCTTTCCTAGCGCATCTTGGTTTTTCCCTTGTGCTGATTGATCTGTGTGAGTGTGCTGTTCCTGTTCCTGGACTATCTCACGAACGGTCACTTATTTCCATTTCTCTCGTGGGGGTACCTGGCATACTTGGATACAGGGCCTGCTTGCTTGCCTCTCAGCCGTTCTCAGTACCAGAAAGAGTTACTACCCCTACCCTTGACTTTTGGAGCCTCATTCCGTGAAGGTGGGAATAGTACTTGGAGGTGGGAAAGGTGAAGTGACTTTGGAACCCTCTTCTCTCTGATCCCCACCTGAGTCAGGAGCAGGCTGTTAGGACGGTGGGTGTCCACAAGGTGGCGGACTCCTGCTACCAGTGGAGTCCAAGAGGCTCGGTGGCTCTGTAGTGGGGGGGGGGGGGGGGGGGGGTGTGGGAAGAAGGGAGGGAGGACAAGGCAGGGCTGGCTGTTTCCGTTGGCTCCCCCTGCCTGCTTGCAGTGTAGACTCTCTGGGTGGTTGCGGAGTCGGGATCGGGGGAAGAGGTACAGACAGAACTTTGTACCAGGAAATACTGGTGTCCAAATGGGAGCCTTGCAAGGGAAGAGCTGAGCTTTGCCTGTGTCCTAGTGCAAACTGCTTACCGCCCGCCCCGCCCCCGCCCCGCCCCGCCGAGATTCCAGGGAAAGTAAGATAGATATGTTTAAGAGGAACAATGGCCTCTAATGTTAGAGCACTCCAAAAGTAAATAATAATGATAATAGCAATCAGCTGTTGAGTATTTACTGTGAACCGGGCTGCTGCCTTTTGATGTCCTTGACACCCTAAAGTGACCGCGAAGTCTGGATTTCTAGATCTAAACTCACACTCTTGCTCCCATCCTACAAGACCTGGCCCTCCCAGCTCTCCCTCCGTCCCAGATGGCACCACCACCCTATTACTCTTTGGAGTAGCTGCCTAGGAGTGACTTGGCTGGTTACCACAAAGCTGGGGACTTAAAACAACAGAAATTCATTCTTCCACCGCTCCGGAGACCCGAAGTCCAGCCAGGGGTCAGCAGGAACGGGCTCCCCGCTGAAGGCTCTGGGGAGACTCCTTTCTGGTCTCTTTCAGCTTTTGGTGGCTCCTTGTGGTCACGTGACTCCAGTCTCCCTCTGTCCCTTCACAACGCCTTCTCTGGTCCTTGTCTTCATTCTTTTGTCTCTTATAAGGAGACGGATGGACAGGATCGTTGGCACTTAGGGCCCCCCTGGGTAATCCAGGTTGATCTCACCCGCAGATCCTCAACTCAATTATATCTGCAAAGACCCCTTTCTCTAAAACAGGTCCCATTCACCAATTCCCAATAGGTTAGGACGCAGATAGACATTTTCAGGGGCCACCATTCAGTGCACAAATGCCACTGTGGAAACCTAGGTGTTACCCTGAACACCTCTTCCTCCTCCCTCCCTCTGAAGTCCGCCACCGATTCCGGAGGACTTTTCTGCTCCATGACCCTTTGTCTTCGTTGCCAACACCCAGTCCAAGCCATCGACGTTTCTTCCCTAACCTCCTCACTGGTTTCCCTGCGTCCACCATGTTGTGGACTGAACCGTGGTCCCGCTCCCCAATTCGTATATTCAAGCTCTATCCCCCAGTGTTGGTGGCTTTGGGAGATGGAGACTTTCACGAGATAAAGTTAGATGAGGTCCCAAGGGTGGGGCCCTAATACGATAGAACTGCCGCCCTTACAGGAAGAGATACCAGAGAGATCTCTCTCCACGCGGGGACGGTGGAAAGCCACGTGAGGACCCAGTGAAAAGCTGGCCGTGCGCAAGCCGGGAAGAGAGACCGCTCCAGAATGTCCCCCTGATGGCACCCTGGCCTCAGACTTCCCATCTACAGAACTAGGAGAAAATAAATGTCCGTGGACACAGCCACCCAGCCTGTGCTGTTTTGTTCCAGGGGCCCAAGCAAACTCACGCACCGCGTATACGCTCCCTCCCACCCAATCTCTCCATTGCAGCCGGCGACCCTAGGGAGACGCAAATCTCAAACCTCTGCTTAAAGTCAGGCCTCCTTCCCT